CATGTATTTTACTAACATTAAAAGACTGTTTATCTTTATGTCTTACAGAACCCTGCACTGTGAATAGAGACGACATGAACAGACATAATATTCAGTTCAAATATAAAAGAGATGATAAACTGTATTCAGAACATAATGATGAAATCGAGTTTAGGTGTACCAGTGGACACAGAGATGTTGGGACAGTGAGAATGCTTCAGAAGTGTGAACATGGTGTGATACATTTGCCGACTTGCCAGTAATGCTTTTTTGTACAAGACTAGATAAACACGAGGGCACTAATGTGTCAATAATTGAAGAGCAGATTAAAGACTTAGACCAGTGAAGTACCGGTGCTGTTTGTGGTCATTTCAATAAAAGCTAATAAATGCTGACTGAGTCTGTTTTCAGCGTCTACGTTTTTTCTGAGTGAAATCCATCTTGCATAAATCTTCTAACACAAATTCAGAACCTATATGCCTCACTTGGCTTAGCCTGAGAATTTTATGATTTAATAAAGGTTGCCCAGCAACTTAATTTTGAATACTAAGTATCTGATTTAAAGAGTTATCAAATGATCTGTACAAAAACATGACTTGGCTGATGTTTGTTCAGTCATAAAAACCTTTTGATCGTTCTGGAGTTTCCATAACTTCTCTCTGGGTCATTGTATGTAGAATCATTCAGACAAGGAAAAAAATCCACCTGACGTGTACTTTCCTCTATAATATATCAGGAATTTTAAGTTAAAAGGTTTTTTGGTCCAAACAACGATTTTTTTTCCTACAGTCAAATACAACCCATATGAGCGTTTGCAAAATAGGCAGACCCAACAAAACCAGTTATCATGAGATGGCTAATAAATTACCTAACTTTAAGAGCATTCATGTTGTTATAGGCAGTGTTGTTGTTAATGTATGTTTGGGGGCGTTGCACCCCGGAACCTTCAGAGGTTTTTCAGGGTTCTCAGCTGCTGGATTGTTATGGGTGGGACAGTTTTCCTGTATGTGTGCGACTAGCTGTGGTTGTTTCTAAAAGTGGTCAGTAAACGTCCTAAAACTGGCACTTGAGTTTCCAAGCATTTTTATCCTGAGGTTATAACACATGTCAATACAAGCTGTTTGTGTAGTATC